TACTGCTTGCAAGCAAAAGTTTTAAATTAATTTCTTTCAAAAAGTCATATATTCTTTGAGGATTACATCTTTAATGCTCAATCTTTAAGCAGATATCTGAGCTGAGAAAAAAGCCTTTTCTGGATTTTCAAATTACAACTTCAAAGTTGACTTCTTATATTTTAATATTTAAAATGGTGTGACTCTAATAAATTAATTCAAGTCCAAGTGGACACTCCCAAATGAGCCATCTTCAGTCAAGCAGACTATCCATGGTATTCAGAGATTTGGGATTTTAGCTTTGTTCTCTGCATGTAATTCTCCAGAATGTCAAAGACCCTCTATATTGTTATATACACTGCCAATCTCTTTATGACATATCACTACTATAAAGTAACTTTGTTATTTTCTTCCTTATTAGCACCTCACCCCTCATTATAGTTTCAATTTTATCTTTTACCAATATAAATACCTAAGGTCCTCAAAATATTATGATGTTCCTACAGCAACCTAAAGCTTGATTTTCCTAGGTCAGAAATTAGAAATGTATATATTTATGAATTTGTAAGTCTGGAGATTGTACATTTCAATCATATCTATAAAGTTTTTCTTTTTGATGTGAGTATAAAAAATAGAAAATATTTAAAAAGGTAATTATTTAAAAGTCAGAAATTAAGGCAGCCCGGGTGGCTCAAAGGTTTAGTGCTGCCTTCAGCCCAGGGTGTGATCCTGGAGACCCAGGATCGAGTTGCACGTCAGGCTCCCTGCATGGAGCCTGCTTCTCCCTCTGCCTGTGTTTGTGCCTCTCTCTCTGTGTCCCTCATGAATAAATAAATAATACCTTTAAAAAATAATAATAAAAAAATAAAAAGTCAGAAATTATAAAATAGGGAAAATTGTTACTGATGGTAAAATTTTCTGATAGAGAAATAAAAATATTCAAACTGAATACTAGAAAGCAAAGTTGATCCAAATAGTATTTTTAAAAGGACATTGACATTTCAATTCCAACTATTCCTGAAACATATGAATTTAATTCCTTAGAACACAAGGTTTGCTCAGGTATTTTTTAGTTTTTCCTGGTAGCTTTTTTTTTTAAGCCACTAAATTCTCACTTCCATTTTGCATTTTACTTGGTGAATATAAAAATTCAGCAAATTCTGGGGCACAAAAATGGAGGAACTGTCACTTCTTTTAAGAAAAAAAATGCACTGTTCAAATTGTTTTACACAGGTATCCTACTTTTTAATAAAAACTACATTTTAAATATTCAGCTGCATTTCTTAATACTCTATACCTAACATCAATAAGAAATTTAGTAATTTCAAAAATCAGCACACTTAGAAATCTTCATCCCATTAAGACAATTCTAGAATTTTAAGTTTTATACTGTTCAACAATAAATTTTTAAAAAGCAAAATATCAAAAAGTCATAAATAAGGATATGATTTTTTTTCAAGATTTTATTTATTTATTCATGAGAGAGAGAGAGAGAGAGAGAGAGAGAGAGAGAGAGAAGCAGAGACACGGGCAGAGGGAGAAGCAGGCCCCATGCCAGAAGCCCGACACAGGACTTGATCCTGGGACACCTGGATCACGCCCTGGGCCAAAGGCAGGCGCTATACCTCTGAGCCACCCAGGGATCCCCTAAGGATATGATTTTATCACAAACCCTTAAAACAACCTGGGGCACCTAAGTGGCTCAGTAGGTTAAGCATTTGCCTTGGGCTCAGGTCATGATCTCCAGGTCCTGGGATCAAACCCCAAATCGGGCTCCTTGCTAAGTGGGGAATCAGATTCTCCCTCTACCCACTCATGCACCACACATAGGTGCGCTCTCCTTTCTCTCCTCCTTCCCCTCTTAAAAAAAACCTTATAACAACCTGAACTTTTGAAGACTACCAAGTAAATATAAAAAATTGAACTTTTGAAGACTACCAAGTAAATATAAAAAACTAAATACTTATATTTCTTAAAACCTTTTGACTTTATACAAGTCAATAATTAATTCAACCTTACACTGAATACTCCGAAGCCATTCTTTCAAGAACGAATGATACTCCCAAACTGCACTAGCTATCCAATACTTAAATATGTGCTTCTCCTAAAACTTCAAAGAGCTAACTGCACTATATTCATCAAATTTAAATCAGGATCAATTTTAAGATTCTCCAAGATTTTAAGAATCCTAGACTACTACTGGTATCTGAAAGACATTCGATTTCAGAGATACTAAAACAAAAAAAAATACTAATGAATAAAATTTATCTTAGTTTTAATTTAAAAATGTCTTTTATTTGGGTGACAGAGACTCTGAGGTTAAACTTTTTCAAGTTTTTACTTATTTCAGAGTGAGTGGGAGAGAACATGCAAACTGGGGGAGGAACAAAGATGAGGGAGAGAATCCTAAGTAGACTCGGTGCTGAGTGCAGAGCCTGACATGGGGCTCCTGATGTAGGGCCTGATTTTACAAACCCCATGATCATTACCTGAGCTGAAACCAAGAGTCAGACACTTAAACAACTGAACCATCCAGGTGCCAGGTGCGCCAAACCTTAATTTTACTAAGATTTGTGATTATGGAAGGAGTGGGTGGCTCAGCAGTTGAGCGTCTGCCTCCAGAGCTCAGAGCATGATCCCAGGAGTCCTGGGATTGAGTTCCACATAGGGCTCCCCATGAAGAACCTGCTTCTCCTTCTGCCTATGTCTCTGCCTCTCTCTCTCTCTCTCATGAATAATAAAACCTAAATACATACATATATATATGTGATTATGTCAAAATTTTCAGAAATACCTGGAATTTATATATACATAGCAGAAAAATTTGAAAAGCAGAAATTTAAAGCAATTTCAATTTTATCTCCATCTAATTCAATCAACCTCTATAGCACTTCATACATTATGAGGCTATTATCTCTTGAAACTAAAGCTTGGGGATCCCTGGGTGGCTCAGCGGTTTGGCGCCTGCCTTTGGCCCAGGGTGTGATCCTGGAGTCCCGGGATCAAGTCCCACATCGGGCTCCCCGCATAGAGCCTGCCTCTCCCTCTGCCTGTGTCTCTGCCTCTCTCTCTCTCTCGGTCTCTGTGTGTCTGTCTCTCATGAATAAATAAATAAAATCTTAAAAAAAAAAAAAAAAGAAACTAAAGCTTTCCCCTCCCTACCCAAAATCTAAAAACAAATATATGACAAAAAATATTATTATTGGTTGACCCCTTCTATATCTGATTAGCCTTAGGCTCATAGCATATACTAATTTAAAGATCAACTGAAAGAAATTACTCTCTAAAGGAACTACACTTACACAGTTCTCCCTAGCCCTAATTTTAAAAATGAAGGTAACATATTTGATACAGGCAAATGCCAATAAAAGCAGCAAACAAAATATTGTATGAAATAATACTGTAATGCTAAAATAATAAATGCTATAAGCAACTGTGGTTTGTTTGCTCACCACTGCATTCCATTCCCAGCAACTAACCTGGCAGAGGATATAGGCTCAATAAATATTTGCTAGCATCTTAATAGAGATGTGAAGGAGTGAAGGAAAGGAAGCAAAGCACAATCAGAAATTACACAAAAACTAAGTGGTGAGAAGATAACAAAAGGAACTTTTGCATTCAGAAAAATTTCACACCAGCATATCTTACGTAGAATGTCATATAATATGAATTATAATGTAGCAGGCTCAAAAAATCCCAGACCCTCTCTTTCCCATTTTCCTTTAAACTGGGTACATCTAAAATATTTACTTCACGAAACTCCATGAAATAAAAATTTCAAGAACATATCTGCATATCTGAAACCACACCTGAATTTAATCAGTAGGCATAAAAAGAAAGATGTACTAATTGCACAGATGAGTTGCAAATATGATGGACTGAAAGTGTTTCTCCAAAATTTTTATGTTGAAGCCTTAACACATAAAATTATAGTATTTGGAGATGAGGTCTTTGGGAGGTATAATTAGGTATAGATGAGATCATGGGGGTGGGTCCCTAAAAATGGTATTAATGTCCTTATTAGGAGACGGGCGGGGGGGGGGGACGTGTTGCTTGCTGTTTCTCTATTTCACCTCTCATACCCTTCCCTTCCTTCTCTCATTTCCCTTTGCCATGTAAGGATAGAGCAAGAAGGTGGATTTCTGCAAGCCAGGAAGAGAACCCTCACCAAAGCCCAAATATGTTGGCACCTGATCTCAGACCTCCAACTTCCTGTGAGAACCTAAGTTCTGCTGTTGAAGCCATAATCTACACTATTTTATTATTATAATCTAAGACAGCAAGCCTACTATTGAAGAAATAGTGACATATACTACAGAAGGATATAAAGATCAAAAGCCAAAGAATTTAGCTTGATAGGAGAAATAATAGTTGTATTAAAATACCCAACATAGAATAGGAAATGGCAAATGGAAATTTTATGAAGGCAAAGTTACTATATTGTCTGAAAATCTGGGAAGGCTTAGACACAAAGGTTACAAAGGAAAATAGAATCTAGACAAAGGAAAACTAAAAGGGAAGAGAAAGCAAGCTTCTCTCTCACATACACATCTCAGAGTTTGGACACAGTAGTTTTGATTATTTTCTAAAGTCGGAATACTTATTTAACAGAGGAAGATAAGATTTTGCTTTTTCTTCTATTTACGTATTTAATTCAGCTCCTACTTTACGTCACGATTTCAGCGTCCTCAAAGCTAGGGGAACCTCAAGTAGAAACAGATTAGTAAGCAAAGAGCTCCAACAGAAACCATGATCAATGCATATCAGAAATATGGTGGTTTCTATTAAGAAAAGGGGGTCTAAGAAAGCTTTTCAATAGATTACTATATATTTGAATGGAACTATCTGAACAATCTTCCAAGACAGGTGGATGTTATACCATGAGTAAGAACATCAGGGATAGCCAAAAGAAAGATGCAATTAGAATTTAATACTACCAAAAAAGAGCACTGCATATTCAATGAAATCCAAGTAATTTGGGCAAGTTACAAATGGTAGCAAAAGACAATATTGGAGGCTCTCTTCAAGCGGCAGCCATGGCGGGCCAAGAGGATCCGGTGCAGCGGGAGATTCACCAGGACTGGGCGAACCGGGAATACATTGAGGTCATCACCAGCAGCATCAAGAAGATCGCGGACTTTCTCAACTCATTCGATATGTCTTGTCGTTCAAGACTTGCAACACTAAACGAGAAATTGACAGCCCTCGAGCGGAGAATAGAGTACATTGAAGCACGGGTGACAAAAGGTGAGACCCTCACCTAGAACTATGCCATGCTGCTGCTGGGAAGTTGCTTTATGGAACACAGGCGACGTGGGAAAGGCCCCAGCAGCCTCAGCTCCTTCCTCTCTTCTTAAAGAGCAACAGGGCTTATTCTTGTTTTTCTTTTTTCAAAAGTGTGGCCTTTGGGCTCTGCCATGTACATCGACGTGTGATGTGGCATGTGGGAAGAAGTCCAGGGGAACTCTTGGAACCAACATTAGGCATTTTACCTTTTAAGTAACGTTTTGTAGAACTGTTCATCAGTGTATTTGAAGCGCTCAGAGCCAGATGCCTGGGACTCTTTGTTAAGGTCCTCTCCATCTCTCTCTCTCAGACTTTCCATACAGGTCTCATTGCCTCTGCATTGATTCTATAAACAGTCTTTGTCTCCTTTCCACCTTTGGCGCGGGGGGTGGGAGGCAGTCCTGGCTGAGACACTTACGCCCCGGCAAGGTGGCCATCAGAGAATGTCGTTGCTAACCTACCAGTTTCTTGTCCTTTGGGGGAGGTCAAGGCCAGGCCTCCACTTGGCTTGAAGGGTCATTTTCAGAATTTTCTTTCTGTCACTTGGGGTATCTTTGCCTCTCTTATTTCCCTAATAAACTCCTCAACTTTAAAAAAAAAAAAAAAAAGACAATATTGGAAAAATAAAATTGTAAAGTATTTGCCTCACTGGAATAAATGTGTAAGAAGGAATGATATTAACTCATAATGCGAACATGGGAGACTTTAAAAGGAACAAAGAGTGACCATACATCCTAACTAGAACAGTCCTGGTCTACATCTGTTCATCTGGTGTTCCACCCAGTTACCCTTTGTAACATATTTAATGATGCATTATTAGTAATTGCACTAAAATATGCAGGTTTGGTAGGCCTCTCCACTTTGAACTTGCAACCTTCTGCTATGACCTTGTCAGCTTGTTTATGAAATGCATGGATAATGAAGAGAATACATTAAAGATGACAGAAACAACTAATTTATCTTTCTATCACCCTTTCCAGACTCAATGTATCTAACCCTTCCCTTTTAAGGGTTAGTATGCAGGGGACTTCTCAAGGCTAGGGCAGTTAGCTCCTTTGGAGGTGGAAGAAGTGGTCAACACTGCCACCACTAATGTTCCACTGATATATCAGCCAAGTTATGGCCTGTGATTTCATCCCTGAATCACAGTTGTCAAGCTACCAATGAACAGAAGTTACAGGAAATTATAGGTTAAATACATGCAGAGTAGCTAATATTAACACACAAAGCCAGTACTCTTAATGAAATGACGAATTAAAGCTTCTCTCACCTCTATGTATATATTTGTCCCATGAAGCTAGCTAATGGATGTATTTGTGAAATAATATATAGACATATACATGTACACACACACACACACACACACACACACACACACACACACACACACACAAAATGGTCTCTCTTCCTGGTTCCTAACACAGAGCTCCCGAAAGCCTTGAAAACAGGGGTTCTAGGACACCTGTTCTACTATTTAGTCTTTGGCCCCAGTTCCTGACAGCTCCTAAAACCTTTGGAATTTCCTGAGTGATAAAAACAGCTTCTGTTCTAATGATACAACTCTGGATGGGCTCCTGAATGGGGGCTGGTCACCACAAAGACCAAGAGAAGATTAGAAGCTTAGAACTTTCAGCACCTTCTCCCCATTCTCCAGAGAAAGATAGAGGCTAGAAGTGGAGTGAATAATCAATCATGCCTACATGATGAAGCCTCCATAAACTATGGGATTCAAAGAGCTTCCAGAATCACGAACAAGAATGCAGCTACATGCTGGGAGGGTAGTGCACCCCAAACTCCACATGGACTGAAACTTCTAAGTTCAGGATCCTGCTGGGCTTCGCCCTATGTATCTTTTCATCTGGCTATTCATTTGTACCCTTCAATATCCAGTGTAATAAATCAGTAATCTAGTTATGTAAACAGCTTTCCTGAGTTCTGTGAGCTACTCTAACAAATTAATGGAACCCAAGGAGCAGGTCATAGAAACCTCTGATTTTTTTAGCCTGGTCAGAGCACAGGTAACATCTGGGATGTGTGACTGGCATCTGAAGGGGGAGGGAGAGTTTTGTGAGAGTAAGCCCTTAATTTATGAGATCTCAAATTAACCCCAGGTAGACAGTGCCAGAACTGAACTTAACTGTAGGATAGACACTTAGCTAAGTTTCAAAGAATTGCTTGGTATGAGGAAGAAAGCTAACACACGTAGTGTTAGAAGTGTTCTGAGTGTGAGTAAAGAAGCAACTGAGTTTTCTAGGCAATATTTGATAAGAGGCAAACATCTGAGACTTCCATCTTTACTGAAAATCAAGAAATACACTTATAATTAGGCTATGAATCTTTGACAAGAATATTTATCTCTCAAAATTAAACTTTACTAAGTTTCTCAAATAGAATTCCAAAAGGTAAAACTAGAAGACTTGGTTAAAGATCTTGATTCTACCCATCATTGTTTTTATTTCACAAGTCAAAGAATAAACTATGAGACACATTTTAAAGCTTAATGTATTCTTTCTCCTATGAAGTAAAATCTTTCAATCTTGGTACCACTGACATCTTGGGTCTGATAAATACTCTATTGTTGGAATTTATCCTGTGCAACATAGGTTCTTCAACAGCACCCCTGGCCACTACCTATTTGATGTCAATAGCATTCCCTTATTAGTAACAATCAAAAATGTCTCTAGTCATTGTCATCCCTACTTGAGAACCACTGCTGTAAATATTTGAAAAGTGAAGACAAATGTTAGAGAATTAAATGCAAATTTGAAGAAAAAGCTCCCATTTCAAAATCTGAAACATCTTCAAGTAGTTTTAATCATTGCAGAGTCCTATGAGCTTAAATAAGCACAAGTAAGATCAAATATTTTACTTACATCTAAATAAAAGAATGTATTTATTCAAAATTTAAAGACAGTACAATCCTTAAGGTAAGCTTATTTTTGTAGGTGGTTATTTTCATTACTTCTGCTTGAGTATCAGGACTCCAGGACATTTCTGCAATCTCATAGTGCTCGCAGTATTCAGTCAACTGAAGAGCAAAATGTAGTTTTTTAACTTAAAATAACTGGTTTGTTTTGGCCTATTTACAAAGAAACAGGCCAGAACCAGATTGCAAAGAAAAAATTCAAAAGGACAGAACTTCAAATACAGTCATAAAATTAAAGACACAGTTCATACTTTGTCTCTAAAGTCTCTTTAACTGATAAATATGACTACCTGTCTATGGAATGTGACTAAAAAGACATATATGCCAGAAACAAAAATTCAATCCAATCATTACAAAGACTATTCTTTGCTATATAGTCATGGCCATTGTTTTTAAACAACTTGCTGTTTGATGCGGTCTTAAACTCAGATTATTCCTAACACATAAAAGTATAATTATTTAGAAGTAATTTCATCAGGCTACTTTATATCAATAAAAATCTAGCAAAAACCCTGAAAAACAAATCGTAACTTCATAAATTAGGAAAACAGAAACTATAATTGTTAATAAATAGAAAGATGTAGGCACAAAATAAAAGCAAATTAAAATGATATACAATTTTTCATCTATCAGATTTTTAGATTTAAAAGCCTAACAATGCTTGGTGCTGACAGGGGTAGATAACTTTCATACACTGTTGGTATAAGTGTTATGTTGAAAAAAACTTTTTGGGAGGCCAGCTGGCAAGATTTCATAAAATAATAATGCACATAAACTTCCATCTATAGATCCCATTCTTTTATCTGTGCTCACTTAAGCACTGTTTGAATTGTTTTGTAATTCCAAACAACTTAAAGGACCATCAAGGGAGGACAGGGCAAGTGAGTTACAGTATACCCCAAACAAGGGAATACTATGCAACCCATAAAAACAATGAGGCAAATTTTTGTGTTTTGATAAGATATCCAAATACAGCAAGTTAACAAAAAGCAAACTGCAGAACTTTGATACCTTTTTAAAAAGAATTAACACATATACACTTATGTACACAGAAAAATTCTGTTAATATAAAAGAAACAGGTTAAAAGTATGGTCTGATTTTTTTTAGTACTTCTGTAATAAAAAAATTTTTAACGACAACCTTATCTAAGCAATACTAATTTCCATAATCTTTGTACATGAGTTTTTCCACAGTATAGGCATAATTATTTAATTCATGTCCATTAAACTCGATATGCAGTTATTCTCACCAAATTTCTCCTTAACCGAAATGGGGACCTAAGCAAAAAGTGTATGTATGATAGTTTCCATGTTCAAGATACATACAATATTAAGACAAAGTTTTAAAACAGATATTTAAAATTTACCACCTGTTCACTCACCTAATATTTTGCCAGAAAATAAAATGTGAAGTGGCTACATCTTGACCATGGCATTGATTTCTGTCATATCCTACAGCAACTAAGACAGCAAAATCAAATGCCACAGGCAAAATTTACAAGAAAACCGGTATCCCCATGAATTCTCTCTAATATAAACAGGGCAAGACTAGAGAGCCATCAATATCTCTATACAGGAGGAAGAAAAAGACTACTTGTCTTACAACAGCTCATCAACAGGAAAACGCTGAACTCACCAACAGTACTTATTGAGGAAAAAAGAAAACTAGGCCACATACTACCCACATTCAAGATTACACCCTGCAGAAATACTCTGTCATGCCAAGTCCCTAGAAAAGGTGGGACCCGTCTCCAAATAATTACTTTGAGGCAAAACATCTATAATCTCAAAAATCACCCTGCAGTCACCAAGGACAATATTCCTAAAATAAGACCAAAATAAAACAATCTCCAAAAATATCAAATTCACTTCAGTACAATTCTAAATAGAAATATTTCATCAGTTAACAAGCTATCCTCACCCACCCTTTTAAAGATATATACACACACAATAGTGCAAAATTCCCAAATGTACTTATAATAGCTTGTACCTCTCAAATTTCAAATCCTTCTGTATTTTTTTCCAGTTTCATCACCTGTAAATGGAAATATTACCACCTACCTCCCAATACTCAGAGGTTAATATTTTTGGTTAAGAATAACAAATCCAAAAGGCATATATTAAAAAGAAAGCTAGACTCCTACTTCCAACTAAAATATGCATCAGTCTCACACCTATGTGCTTCAAATTTATGCTGCTGAAAAATTACAATTACTAGAAGTTTTCAGCCTTTGAGGTTACTGAAAAATAGTCTAAATCACAAATATTAAGGGTATATCCAGTAATTTACCTTACTGACTCTTCCATATCTCCTGACAGTTTTTCTTAAATCACGAATTACCACACCCAACCTCCCAATACTTGCCACAATCCCCAGGAAACTATGGTGTCAGTGCTTACAAGGTAAGCCTTCTAAGGTCATACATGATGGTATGCCACAGGAAAGGAAAGCTGGACAGAGATATCTAGTCAGGATTAGATAAGCAGCAAGAAAATCTCAAAACAACTAGTTAACAGATTCCTATCAAAAGTCTATTTTCAAATTCTAAAGGTTTTAAAAGAATTCTCAGAGTGCTTCAGTGAAGAGGAAAGAAGTGAGAAGACACCAAGTGATCTAAAAGTACACGTTATAAGAGGACCTAAAGTCAGGATGCCCGAGTTTAAACTCCAATTCACTCACCAAATGT